ACTCAATCGAAATTGTCTAGCTTTCATAGTAATGATAACCGGAAGTTGGTTTTGATTCGTCCATGATAGCAGGAAGTAGAATATTTCCTCTTAAACGCCAGCCAAAATAAGTAATGAAAGAAACTTTAGAAATCTTTATTTCTATTACTCTTGACATCGGTTGCAATAGAACTGATTTATAGCAATACTGGTGAGACTCTACTCATGACTATATATCTATAATATGTCAACAAGTTCAAGCTTAAGTCACTTCTTAAAGAAGGTAAAGCTCAGAGTAAAACAAATTTAATGACTTTATAGCAATTTCAAGTTTTAAAAAACTAAATATGTGAAATACGAAAACTTTGTTTGTTGTTGGTCTTTGCTTTTTATTATGGTTTGCTTGTTTCATTCTTTGGATTTTTTGCGAAAATTTATTGCTTTGTTTAATTTATTTCCGCCATTAAATAATTTACGACGCTTCTCCACTTACACTTGTACAAGTATAAAACAAATGTGTATTAACGCGGTTGTCGACGGCTCAACTCGGCTATAAACAATAATAAAATACATGTTGGTGCATAACGTAACATACATGGAAGTAGTAGAATAAAATAGCGATTTAAATGCGTTCCACAATAGACTCGGCTATGTGGCGAACCGGTAGCAATGGTATTTATACAGTTGTTGGGATCGAGCGAAGTCTGTAAAGAACTAATGTTTTTTGAGTACTTAACTGAAGTAATGAAAGTGATTTAAGGTTTTTAATATTTTGAAGATAAGTATAAAGGAGACAGATATATATTTTAGAATTTTTGTTTTGTATTAAACTTTCTCTGGTTTCTGTCACTATTTGTAGTTTCTTCTTTTCGAGTAAAGGAAATTATAACGGTGTGAGAAAGGTTCAGATTAGGCAATCTCAAAATAAGTTGAAGTGTATAATAGATCTATCTATCGAGTCCATAAAAGTCCATTAGTTATATATTGTGTTTTCTTAACAGTAAAGTAGTTATCTCGACCTTTCTTCCTAGAAATCGATCGCCTACTTCTCTAGATTGCCTTATTTGTGACTAAAATTGTAGCTTTTAACAAATAGTGCACTGAAAGCAGCATTTTCCGAATGTAATTTCATACAAGGAAATGCTGATCTGACGGCGGTCGCATCTATAATACATCCTTCCAAAGACTGCCCTGTAATCAGCAATTCTCACAGTCTTTTTAAACTATATATTGTATTACTAAAAAATAATAATAGGTACGTTATTAAAGGCACATGTTGAACACACCGTTTATTAGCGAAAGATCAAAGAGAGTTCACAATCGACCAATGTCAAAATTGCATTAACTGGGCTTTGAACTACACTTTCTCATCAAAGAAATCACCGTAAATGAGGCGTATTTTAAAGCAAAAGAGCAAAATGGTACCAAAAGTAGCAAGATCGCTATAGACGTTACATCGCCAACGCTGATACCTTCCTTGGATATCTATTGTGCGCTTACTAACGTCGCAAAATTTCGGTTTGACTCGAGTTGACGTCTCCTTCCTTATATTGCTATTGTCTCGCGTGCTTCGCGAATATGCTTTTGGCCGCCCATTACGACTTCGCTTGTCATTTTCGTTGGCGTTCAGTAATTTCTTGTAATTCTGCCAATTCCTTTTTATTGCCACAAATTTGAGGTCATTTTGTGATATTTAATTTGACAAAAAGTAAATGGCAATTATTGGCGTTGATTTATGTAAAAGCAACTCATTGAGTTTATTATTTCTATTTTAATCTTTGTGTCTTCGTATGCTATGTGTTTGTTGTGCTTTTTGCCAACACTTTTGGCAAGGATATTTAAGGCTTATAAACTCGATGTGGCAAGCGATGAAGCTTCTTTTTGGCTTAAATGCTTTGAAAAATTTGGTAAAAACAAAGGAAATGACAATTGGCAATTTGTTTTGTGCGCGTAATTATGTCACTTGGAGTTGTTTAGAGGCGCGTTTTGTAATCGCTTCAATTGCGACCATAATGCTCAGCTAAGTGGGTTGTGGCGCTTAAGGTACACACACACATACTTTGTGACGTCTGCTCTTGTGGATATTTACTTTATTCAAATAAGTAGGTTTATAACTGATTTTGGCGTACTATTTCTGATGGCTTTTGTTGTTTGTTTGTTTGTTTTTTTTTTGGTTTGTGGTTTTTGGTGCATAACAATTGTACTTGACATTTTCATTTCGCATGTTAGTTGTGTGTATGTGTGTCTGTGTCGATTATTTTGCATATGTGTGCTGCTTGTTTGCCGTTGATAAAAGTCGTGGCGGCACTCCTTTCATGCATTGCATGTTAGTCAGCAGGCATGGCAGGCTCTCTGCTGCCTTTTCATTGAAGCTAAAGTGGCGTCCCTCAAGTAATGCCTTGCGTGTCTTAAACTATTTGCAATTTTACGCTTCATCCACACGTTCAAAATTCACTCATTCTTTGCCGTAGTCATACAAACATATGTCTATTCATTTATCATACATAAGCACATAAATACTTCGAAACATTTTAGACACTGCGATAAATGTCATTCCGCACTCTCACTTCTACATGAGTAATTATATGTGTGGTTGTTGTACTCTTTCTCGCACCACTGTTATGGTATGACATTCGACATTTTTCGGTTTCATACTAGATATTCGTTTTTCTCATTACTCGCTCGATGAAAAACTATACGCCATCAAGGAAGTGAAATGGATATGAATTTTTCTTTGTGTAAGCCGAAAACTAAACTTGTATTTGCATATTAATGCAAGCATATATGTACATATGTATGTAAATATATACACTTCTCAGATATTATAATAAATCAACTGAGTGCGAAAATGTTTTTTCTAGTATATCTATGATAGGTCAAGGTAAGTGAACGGATAATGTGTTGTAAAACACACTTTCAGTAAAGACAGAGGAAATGTTAGGTGCAATCCTTTCATAAAAAATATAAAAGAGACGCATTATGCCATCTCGAGAACGTAAGAATGAGAATAATTTAAGAACGAGAATAATTAAAAAATGTATATTGCATTGCAGTACAGAATGCTTTTAAACAGTATTCAACTAACAAAAAAGATTTTATGAAAGGTTGTCAAATATCTACCTTCCGCTTTTTTGCTCTTTATTCAATGTTTTGTAAAAAGTGTTACAGTGATCGGATTTAGTTCAAGTATGCGCCGTTTCCTTCGATAAACTGTTTCCATCTAGACGGCAACTTCATAACACCCCCCTCTTAGAAGCCCCCTCCTTATTTGCGAAGAACTCGGACAGCCACTTTTCACAAACCTCTTTTGAGTTCAACTTTACATCAGCAAGGGCGTTCGCCATGGACAGGAGCAGGTGGTAATCACTTGGCGCTATGTCCGGGCTGTATGGTGGTGCAATAAAACCTACCATCCGAGTCATAAACGAAGCGTGTCGTCTGGCGGTGTCCTGGTGGAACACTACACCCTTCCTGTTGGCCAATTCTGGACGCCTCTGATCTGTCGTCTGCTTAAAGCGGTCCAGTTGTTCACAGTAGATGGTAGAATTAAGCATCTGGACATCACCTCTGGGGAGCAGCTCATAGTGATGATTCCCTTCCAATCCCAACAAACACACAACAAAACCTTCCTGGCCGTCAATCCCGCATAGGCCACTGTTTGGGACGATTCACCGGGCTTCGACCAAAACCGTTTTCGCTTGATATTATCATATGTGATCCACTTTTCGTCACCAGTCACCATATGCCCCACAAAGGGATCATGTTCGTTCCGTTTCAGCAGCATATCGAAGGCGTTGATTCGGTCCAGAATGTTTTTTTTGCGTCAAATCATGCGGCACCCAAACATCAAGTTTTTTTTGTGTATCCAGCCTTCTGCAGATGGTTAAAAATGGTTTGGTGGCTAATCTTCTGGGCGATGCCACGAGATGCCACATGCCGATCTAATCTCACGGAACGTTCTCTAGCGGATTTGCTTTTAACGAAGGAAAACTTTGAAATAGCACGAATTTCGGCGTTAGTGAACTCCATGTTTACACGTACATAACTGTTGAACGCAATATCCAAACTAATCATGCATAGCGTCGTTTTGTAGGTTATGTCAAGACCTTTTAAAGATTTAAAAAGAAAGACAAAAAGGCGGAATGGAGATATTTGATAGCCTAATTTATTTATGCTCCACAAACTTATTCAGAAAACTCTCAAGTATTCTACTAAAGAATAAATTTATGCTGTGTAAATGATAAATTTAATTCAATATAAGTGAGAACGAAGAACTGATATATTGTCCAATATGAATACAAACACTCCATTATAATTTTCTGTCTGTTCGTATATACGCGAACCAGTTCCACAGTTTTTGAGTTGTCGAGCTGAAATTTTACACACTTTTCTTTTATCGGCAAATTTTAGCATATGGTTCCCAAACAAACTAAAAATCAAAACCAAATTCTTGTGCGGAAAACTTTTTATTGAACAAGATATCTTTAGGAAATTTGGCATATGTTATTATTCAAGACAGTGCTTTCAGATCCCATCGCTATAACATATAGCTGGCACACGAACTGATCGAATTAGGGGTTATATACAGTTAGAGGTCGAAAAAAGAGAATTTCCCAGAATTTTTTTAGAGAAAAGTTTTTTTTCGAAAAAATAAACAAAATAATTTTTTTTTTGACAAAATGGCGGTTTCAAAAAAAAGTCGAGAAAAATTTTTTGTATAATTACTAAAAAATATAATTAAGAACCTAATGTCAAAATTTTAACTTTGAAAACAACATTTTGAGAAAAGCCTGCTGTACTTATAAGCACACGCCTTTTTAAATTTGCAGAACGATATGCAAATTTCTGTGTGTATACTTAAATATATGTACTTTAAGAAAATCGACTTTTTGAAAATTCTAACTGTAAATAACTCCTTAAAAGCAAGTTCTTACAGTAACCAATCACCATTTGTGTATTTAAAAATATCGAACTTAACAAATATTAATGAAGTTTCATATATTTATTTTTAACATTTACAGTTGTTGGCAAGGAAACACACATATACGTATATAGCGTTGTGTTCGTCACAAATACCACTCGGAACAGTAGAAGATGCCAACACTGTGATTACTATTTGAAATTGTTTTGAGCATATTAATATTTTGAAGGAAACAAAAAAGAAAAAGCTTCAACTGAAAAGCTTGTAAATACAACAAAAACAATAACAAATCGTTTGTAGTATATGTAAGTACTATATAAAAATCAAGACCGCCGTAAACCGCCGAAACAATAAGTTAACAAGATAACAAAAACAAAAAACTACAAATCTTCACTTATACCAAACAAAAATAACAAAACAGCTAGGAAAGGAGTAAACGAGCAACAACAATTGTCCAATTAATTCTTATCCAAATTGTTACCGTAACGGCTAGTCAAACAATGGGGTCAAAGCTGCGGTAGCACATCAATTGAAGCCAAAGCCAAGCGAACTAATGAACTAATTAACCAATGAAACAAAGTCAAACCAACTGTAGCCAATAAATGCATGAGAATTGTAACACCAACAACTGTAATAACGAAAACAAAACAAATATGCATGTTATGAAAAAGTGGAATTGAATTTAATGGAATTATCACGCGTGACTATGCGTTTACATAGAAGCCAAAGCGATTCCCTCTTATTTTTCGCTTTGCCACACAAAACTATTTGCTACTCATTTTGACTTAATTACGAAATACAACTATCTCAAAAATTAGCCCACGCCATAGCTTGCGAAAAAATAAGCGATTTTGAAACAAGTTGAAAAGAACAGGCATTTTTTTATTGTAAGCCACTACAACCACAATCACAAACGCTATCACTGTCTTTTTTCGCCTCTGCCAGCTTCCCAATACTATATAGGTACTATACGATTCGTAGAACATCTCGTATTTCCACTGAACGAAAGTGAAAAGCAATCATCAGAATAATACATAAAGTTACAGTTATTACAAAATTACACCAGAATAATACAAAAAGTTACAGGAAGTAACAAGATCCAGACGATAATTCAAAATGACTTCGCCACCGGAAAGCCCCATTGAGGAGGTTGTCTTCGAATTGGAACACACTCGAGTGCCTAAGCCGATTAATGTAACTATCGAAGATTTGTATCGCGAGACGAAATTCTCAAAACAAGAAATACGAATTATGTATCGAGGATTTAAAACGGTGAGTGTATTATGTGTAACAAAAAGTGAAACGGGAGTTATATAATATAGGTAGTGAATTTGAAAACCATTTTGTTATATTTTATGAAGCCACGGCGATTTTCCAAAGCTCCTCCTTAATAGAACGGATCCTAAACTTCTTTAGAGAAGCTAACATATAAAATAAACAAAATTTATTTTTTTCATATTTTTTCTGTATCGACAATTTTCATGTTTGGGAGTGTACTTCAATTATTTGAATTTTTTTTTTTGTTTAAATATATTCAGAAACGGTGCGGTGCGTGGGCGGTCCTGAATTTTTTGAAAACCTTACGTACTGACTCTGTTTAGTACCTATGTCCTATTTGTATATTTATTGAATCTTACAGGTCGACTAAGGTCATATTCCCTGTTTATTGCAATGTACCATTTGGAGGAATGGAGTTGTATACAGTGAGAAGGCAGAATAAAGCGAATTTTCCCAGAATTTTTTCTGTATATTTATTATTATATATTATGGTATCTTTTAACTGTATTTTAGGACTTGGTATTAGTAAAAATATTTATTTCGAAAGAAGCTTGTTCTTCTCTTTAAACTGAATCCTATGAAAAAAAAAACAAAAAGATTTCGTTGATTTCAGGGAATTCTCTGAAGAAACTATTATTTTTCGCATCTTAAATAGAAAACTTACGGAGCATACCAAATATTTTTATTCAAAAAATACATACATATGTAAACATTTTTGTATGAAATCGATAGTCAGAATTATTTATTTCATACGCACATATGTTAGAAAAAATAGTTTACAAAATTAAGAACATATTCTATACAACATTTACGATGATTTTGCAGGAATGTCCCGAAGGTGTTGTCCATGAAGAATGTTTCAAGGAGATTTACGCCAAATTCTTTCCACATGGCAGTAAGTAGCTAACTGTATTCAGTTCTATTGATTAAATGTAATGTTTTTTAATTATATAATTTATTGCCTAGTAAATACATTTTATATCCTTATGTGAACATATATGTATATGTACATTTTTAATTTTCTGCTTTTCGTTGATATGTACTCCTTGTTTAGACTCCAGTTTATATGCTCACCATGTGTTCCGGACTTTCGATATAAACAGTACTGGTTCCGTGAACTTTCGGGTAATAAAATAAATTCTTATTATTATACATATACTCTTATATTTACTCCTTCAGCTACTTACAACTATTTTTAATCAAATATTTTTTATTTTGGCTTGTCGCAGGACTTTCTCAATATTCTTTCTACACTTTTGCGCGGTACAGTTTACGACAAAGTCAAGTGGACCTTTAAATTGTACGATGTAAATGGCGATGGCCGGATAACACGTGGCGAAATGAGCGATTTGTTCCATTCCATACACGAGCTAATGGGTCGACGGCCGCATCAGCCGGAGGAAGACCGAAAAGCCAAAGAACAGGTATAATTAAGCGAAAGTGCAATGTATTAATATAAAATACTGTTATGTAATTGAATATCATTAAAGTAATGGATTGTGTAGTTTTATGCAATTACTGCAACAATAATAGAAAACTAAAATGAGTTCTTATGGGGTGTAGCAACATTTTGTCGATTTTGTTCCAAAAAAGGTTATTGTAGATTTGAGTACAAATAGCTTCTTAGTTTACTCGGATTTTTACTTTCATGGAATAGATGAATTTTAGTGTTCAAAATTCCGTCAGAAATAAACTAATGACGGAAATTGATGAAACACAATTTTACTTTATTCTTTACAATTGTATATTCAATGAATTCGAAACCAAACCCAAGTCAATGCCAAATATATGGTCGATATTTTTGTCATTCCTATGTCTTTGAAAGCATTAAATTCATTTAATATTAAAAGGATTTCATCTTGGGACGGATTTTATTTCATGAATAATGCCAATACCTTACAATTGAAAAAAAGAATGGTTTTGGGTTAAAGATTATATGGGGTTTCTCGGGTAAAAAGCAGTCTTTTTCAAAAAATTTTTCTCATATAGAAATGAAATATTTTATTAGAATTTTTATTGATACCAACATACACTATTAACAAAGAAATTCTAAATGTTTTGGAAAAAATTATTTTAAACTCGATCATTGCGACTCCATTTCCGGTGACGCCTCATTTCAGTGAAAATTTTTTCTTCAGATAATTGTAATGAAAAAAATACTTCGTCTAAGCCTTTAAGAATTTTATCTCAAAGGTCTGTGTAAAATTTCTTGAACATCGGTTGAGTAGTTCTTGCGATATTTTGTCAATCGACTTCAAAACCACAGTTTCGAGACTGTATCTCCGAAACTATTACTCGGATCTACTTGAAAGTTTAAGCCTTGAGGTGTTGTAGAATTTAATAAGACAATAAAAAGATCGATTTTTTGAAACCCGTAAGCCCATGTAACTTCTTAATCAATACCGGAAAAAGAAAGAATCACATGGCATTTAAAATTGTGTTATTTGGGAAGTTGCTATGATTGTGATCCCATTTTTGATCGAAATCAGTCGAGTAGATACCAAGTTATGGATTTTCTCGCCCATCTTCCAAATTTGTCCCGGATCCTATAATGTTCTTTCGTACCATTTCGGATGTAAAACTTTAAGTAGGATTTAATGGGAATGGGCGGGGTTATAATCCGAAGTCAAACGGCTTAGAAGATATTTTTTTGTTCCATTGTTGTACCAAGCAGCTGTCATGTATCTTATTGCGGAACATAGTTATGTCGCTTTTTAGGGTTTCGATTAATGGTGGACACGTCACGCACTAAAGACAATGATTCAATTACGGCCAATTAGTTCTCGGCAGTATAACCAATGGTGTTAACTATCGTTATTCATTTCAAGAATGCTCTTTTTTGACAAGATTTGCTTTTCAAAACATTTTTCAACAAACTATTCGAAATTCTTTTAACATATTCAGGTGCTCCATTTGGGTGATCTAACAAACCTCTCTGTTTTTTCTTCCAGTTGGAACGCACTTTCCGTTCATTTGATCCGCACAATGTCGGCTATATTAATTTCGAGATGTGGATGAAGGGTTTGCTGACCAATCGAACCATTGTGAACTCATTTCATGTATTTCACTCGGATCCTTGATGGTCGGAGAGTGACTTCGAGAGCATTTTGAATAATCAAGAAGTTATATCGCTGATAGATCTTTGAGACAGCAAGAACAATAACGGCAGGAGCACACGTAAGGCCAGCGCAAGTTCACAGGTAAACAAATTCACACATACACACATATACAATTTGTTAGTATAAATCTCATTTGTAACTTATTTTGCAGACGAGTAAACCGTTAGACAAAAATAAAAAGACGTAAAATTGCGAGCAGAAGTTCCAGTTTGTGGAAAATTAAATTCGTTTTAGCGAAAAGAAAGTCCATGAAAAGGCGTAAAATCAGGTGTATTTGTAGGCGTGTAGTGCATATATATATATATATATAGTATTTAACAGTTAGTAAGCTTCAGATTGCGAATATCATTAAAGAGCGAGTATTGTGAAAGAAATGCTAAAAGAAGTGTCACAACTGAGTCGTACACAAAATGAAAATAGCCTTAAAATATCCCAAAGAGCTATTTAATGCTCCAATTAGTCATATTACATACAACAAAAGTGTGTGTTATAAAAAAGTGTAAAATAAGTGAGGCACAGCATTGCTAGCATTGACATTTGACACTGTTAGGCGTACAAATTGTTGATGCTTTCAAGTTCTATTTTCATTATAAAGTTTCAGTATTTTATAATTAGCTTTACAACTTTTCTGTGTTGCTCTAAACGACAAGCTCTTTCGGTTTAAGAGTGAATTGAGAACCATTTTCATTTTCACAAATATCAGTGGATTTAACATATTAAAAAGTTTCTTCAAATAAAACAGGAAAATATGAATGAATAAAAAAATTATTTTTGCAGCCACAAGAGCCATTTTTGTGAAGATTTTTATGTAAATTAAATAGCTATCAGCTGTCCAATGTCAAAGCTAGATTGAAAAGAGTCAAGCAATAATAAAGTTAAACATGTTTAAGCAGATAAAATTGAAATTCAGTAAATTTAGTAAAAACAAAAAATGTAATACCAAATTGTCGAAAATGAATTACTTTACTGTACTTTAGTAATAACGGTATGCAATTGCATACATAGATACATTTATTAGTTACGAACGACGTTGGCAGTTGAAGTACGGTCAAAATGGATGCAAAACAATAAAAGCCAATAAATAAATGTGCTGACTAATAATTGCAGAGTGGTGGCGGGAAAATGTAAGCGAGGAGCGATTAACACACAAAAACCAAACAAAAATCGTAATAATAATAATAACAGTAATATTAGGAAATTTTATTTAATAAAAAAATATAAAATAAATTTAACAAATTATTCGAAAATTCTAAACTAATTTAAGTACTTTCCATCGTGATTGATTCTGCCAGCAGTGAACTCCACGAAATTCGTTGACGCTAAACTTTAATTGCTAGTACAGGTGTTTCGTCGTGCACTATTAATATGTTTTTATAACTGTGAAATTTTTTTAAAAGTTATCATCAGATTTGGGTCGAAAGACAAGGAGAATGACAAAGATGAAGCATGCATACATTTAAGGTTAGGTTTTGTAATATTTGTAATTTTGACAATAAGTTTAATCAAGCACAATGTGCATTCCGTAATTTGAACTATTAAATAACACTTGAAACAAAAGCAGATGAAAGAAAAATAAAACAAGAGGGGTATAATATTAATGCTGCTTCTCATAGACTTTGTCAAATGTTAAATTTTTTTATAATATCGTATATGTAGTTATTTATTCAAAACAAGTGTTGTCAAATGTTTTTCAAAAAATTTTGAATTTTTTTATAATATTAAATATATAATAAATTAATTTATTTAAAGTAATTATGCTAAGTATTTACTCCATAAAATGTTATTTTATAAAGTAWTATGAACTATATAGTTCAGAACTTCCAATTGCACAGTTATCGAGAGCATACTGTACTTTGTAAATTTCACGTTAAATCAATTATTTTCAGCTTTCAAACACTTTTCTTACTTCGAAATCATATTTTTGACAAGAAATGTAAATTTTTTTATTTAAAAAACTTTTTAAGCAAAATAATGTCATAAATTTCGCTGCGGCCCTGTACGGTTTCGTCATATTCTCTGTGCAATGTATGTATATTAAAGCAAATATGTATTATTAAAATAATGTCACGAAGACACTATACTACATATAACATATACATACATATAGTTATATTTCATAAGTTTCATCAAAATACCTACATACATATAACTGAAATACCAAGAACATCTGCCAAACTAAAAATAATTCTGTAAATGTGGTGAATATGTGTTGTAACAAAATTTGTTATTACTTTACTGTTATTACGTATTTCCGGTCAATTAAATCAATACCGAAACATATGAATGACAATTGAAAATGTAATTTCAAAGGCAATTTACTACTAAGATTTCATTTAAGTACACACATACGTAAACAAAAAACAAAAACACACACACACAAAACAAAAACAAACTATACTATTACTATAGAACTGAAACTGTACTAAAGATAATTTCAACACGGTGAACACTTGAAATATTATACTATAAATAGCAAATAAATCTGAAAAAAGTGAAACAAAAATATTAAGCATGAATTGCAATAAAAAACATAGGTTATAAAACAAAAGCAAAAATATTGCAAAAAAAAGTAACACAAAAATGAATTTCGTGCACCGATAGCCCAGCGCCAATAGAATAAATAACAAACAAAAATGAATTTGAACGTAAAATGCAGCTTATAGAGTGTTCTTATAGTAAAAAAAAAAACAAAAAAAAATAAATATTGCATATAAAACATAATAAAAAAGTAATCAACACCAAGAACTAAGAATATATTAAAACAAATTTTATAAAACGATACAAGAACTTAAAGTGTATTTGTGTAAATTTTTAAATTTAATTACTTTATTCATAAATATTTTATTTCTCACTTCTGTACATGGAGCCAAATTCCACCGAAGCTGTAAGCAATACCTGAAGAAAATGTAATAAAATAAGCAAAACGTTTACAGTTTACATACACACACATGCCAATGGATTACTTTGTAAAATGTTGTAAAGAGAGAAAATATAAATAAGCATTGACTTTATTGATTTTGAAATGTTTTTTTCTACGCGAATAAAGCGATTATTATTATTTTTTAACTGGTTTTTAATTTTTAATTAAAATTTACTAAATGTAAAGAAAGCAAGCGGCGTTTTGGAGAGTAACAAATAGAAAGAAAATTTAGATGTCTCGACATGTCTGAGTGCTTTAAATTTGTATTATTGTGCTTAGATAAAATGACGTTGAAAATAGTAAACTGTGTAAAGTCAAAAAATCCTTCAGATTTATTTAAAGAATCACAAATAGTTTTGTGTTATAAGACTTGACACCATACATTTGGCTATAAAGTAAATAACTTTCGTTTTCAAACCAAAAAATTAAATACTTTTAGCGGAGATTTTTAAATATTTGCATTTAGCGCAAAAATTAGCCATTTTAAAAACTATTGGGTAGCCGAAAAAGTCTTTTCGTATTTCTAATCAAACTTCAACTTATTTTTCTATATTTAAATAAACAAATATGTACCATTTTGGGCGACCACTTTTTGCCATTTTTTCGCTAGAGACATTATTCCATCAGTGTAAATCGAAATTTCCAGAACTGATACGGCATCGTCTTCGTAAACTTCACAAATTTCATTGGTGGCTTGAGTGGCATTCTTCCCTTTTTTACTATATACAAAATTTCAAAATATAGCGAATTTCTTCATTATTTTCACTCACTTTTGAACAGCAATAGCTTTTTTCAATTTCCCCGAATTTATTTTTTTTTTAGATGAATGAAGTTTAAAATCTAAACACTATATAGATTGGTAGCAGCGGAGATATACGACTACAACGACATCTACTGACATTGACAAATTACGAAAGGACTTTTTCGACTACCCTATTATATTTTACTAAGTTTAAAAAAGTTCAACTTTATACACTGTTACCAATTTTTTCCAAAACGCGTTTGCACTATACAAAATTAAACACATCCAGCGACAGCTGTTTTTAAAATATATATGTACATACATATGTTTTGAAAAAAATATATACAATATTTTCAATTTAAATTGATTTTTTCAACAATTTCGCCGCTTAATGAAGCTGTTGTTTGCAACTGTAATACTACAACTCGTATTTAGACGAAATGGACAATCAAAGCGGGTTCACATTTTTGAAAAGTTTTGCATCAACCCAACCAAATACTACTAATAATCAGCTAATGCGTTATATTTGTGCAAATCCAAGGCATTATTCGAAAGTGAACTTCTTTTTGGTATGCTAATTCGCAGCTCTATGCTTTGTGCTACTCATTTAAGAAAAAAAAAAAAAAAAAAAAAAAAAAAAAAAAAAAAAAAAAAAAAAAAAAAAAAAAAAAAAAAAAAAAAAAAATACAAAATTAATCAATAATAAATTAGGTAATAAATTCAAGATATCTATCGAATTAGCTGTTATCCTTCCATTTAGGCAAATATTAAATTAATCTAATGAAAGCAAAAAACCAACAAAACGAAATTGAATTGAAAATTCTTCCAAAAATGTGTGTGTCTAAGCTACTTAGGAAACTGTTAAACTAAACGAGTTCTAAATAAGTGAAATAACTATTAAATTATACCAGAAAATCTACCATCTGCTCTGCATATGTATAGTATACATATGCATGTGTTTGAGAACCTAACTAACTTTATGTGTATGTGTCTTATTGTATATAATTGATAATGCGGCGCTATGGATCACCTTGCAAGTTTGTAATATTGCCTTACGGCATGCTTATTGGTCACAAGAGGAAGATCTTTCAGCGCTTTTACGGGACTTTTAATAAATTTACTCTAGTGACTATATTTAAAGCTATTTGGACAAGTGGTTTTCTCTATAAGGTGGTTTTCATAGGCCGCATATTGCGTGTTAGTTTCAAGCAAGTGTTTGCAAGTGCTTTCACGTAACTAGAAAATGATGAAAGCTCTTGCAAACATTTCACCAGACAAAGGAAGGTACTATTACTACTACTACTGCGTAATTATCTATTAAATGTAAGCAAGTGCTAAAAACTAAAAAACTAAATACGAAAAAAACTGAATAATTTAACGTCCTATATTTGTATAGCGGAACGAATATCCTTCCAAGAAACTTATGCATGTATTTATGTAGCGAAATACGACTTAAAATTTACTATTTGTACATTTACTCGTAAAAATTATTTCTTGCTTTCTTTTTTTGAGAATATTTCTGCTGGTACTTTTTATGAAAGCAAGGTTTTGCTTACTTTATACATATGTATTTCATAAAAAATTTACGTATTTAAAATTGTGAATTTACATTTATATTGTCATAGTGTATGTACGAGTATACGTATATTTGAGCGAAAGTAATTTTTTTTAAAACAATTTTTTTTTTAATATTGAACCTTGTAATTTTTCATCTTTAAAACCTTTAAACAATGTTTTTTTTTTCTTTATTATGAATGAAGGTTAAGTACAACAGAAATTATTATTTGCAAAACCAACCTTAAGTTAGTAACAGCTTAAACTGAAAAGTTGATAAAGCGTAGGGTTGAGAATATTGTTCGACGGCTTCTGTAACTTGTTTATGTTTTTTATTACAGAAAATTGCTAAAATAAATTCAATATTATAGTTTAAAACATTTTGGCAACGTTTTGGCAAGTAAGCTTCACAGCCGTTTTCGTTGGTAATATAATATCTTTATTATTTTTTAAAGAATCGTTTATTTTATCTTATAAAGCAACGTTATGGGAATGCTGTTTTAGTTTACATTTTGATCTAAATTTTTTCCTTTTAATAATTTTCCTTTAAACGTAGTTTTATGTATAATAAAAATAATTCTATGTAGAAAACAAAATAAATGAGTATACAACAATTTTGGTGAACTAAAATGTTTTTTGATGTGTATATGTACTGAAGC